GGGGAAAAACACTGACCCCATAGTTCTCCTTTAAGTACTGTAATCCTCAGCCATGTTATCGTCCGCTGTCATTGGCTGCGAGTTAAAGTTTTTATAGCAAATTACGGTTTTCAGAAACTTAGTCAATTGAGCCAATACACTATAACTAAAAGGAAGGCAAGAGGTATCACTTACAATCTCTTCAACTGTGGTGTAGGAGAGAGCGGTGAGGTCAGGGACTCTCGGCTGTACACCCCACTCTCACTGTATGATCCATTAATTGGTGACGATGTCGAAGATGGAGAATCCATATTCAGATCTATTTTCATGGAGTCTGGGCTGTCGAGGTCAGAAAGACTTCCGCTCATTTTCGCTCTCTTCTTAGCGGCACTGTTCCGCAGATGTCGGAGAGAATTGATCATCTACATTATGAAAACAGAGTTAGTATATGGAAACCAGGGAACAAAATTACTTTGGATGATGCAATACTCCTCCATCTGAACATTGTGTTATTATTTAATGTTTGTATGCAAGAACGTGAATATTAAGTTGTAAAGGGATCTTCCACCGAAAGTAATACTTTAGTTATAGATGAAGCCTAATGGGCCGAGTCAGATCCTGGCACGTTATATGTCTTGGATACACCAACAGCGAGAGATTTTCCTGCTAGAATGCCTGACTTGGATCTTGTCTACCTGGAAGTTTTGGGTGTTCCCACCTTTGTGTGTTGCAGCACATCGTGTAGCATTATCATCATAATATAAAATACTATACTTAAAAAAACAAAATGGAAATCCCGCACAATGGCCAGATCCATGCAGGTAAATTTACAGTTTATTTTGCATTTAAATGATTAGCACACTTTAAAACAAAGTGAACAAATCCTTTTTGCCTTCCCCCGCTGTTCTAAACTAGCCCACCCATACGCTCCGTATATGTATACTTACCTTACACTCCTGCTTGTGCTCACCAGTGTTTGTTTAGATTCTTTCAACAAACCTTCATTGTGCTTCCACAGCTACGTGGTAGCTTCCCATGTTCTATGTGGCTGTCTCCCGAGCACCTTCTACCATAGTTTTATACAACCCCGGGGAAGCTACTGCTCAGACATGACAGCATACAGAAGATCTGCTCGCAGGGTGTATATAAGTGTACTTATCCTTTAACAATTGTTTTAGTTATGTCATTAAAATGATCAAACGAAACAGTTAAAGCAGCACTAAACTCTACAATAACTTATCCTCTCCTTCAGAAATATAATGTCTATGAGCTACCTCAGGTTATCTTCTGGGATCTTCAACCATTTTGATAGGTCAGATGCTGCATGTGCAGCTCAGTGTACGTGCAACAGGCGTTTGCAAACAGAAAGGTAAGATGATTTTGTTGCATAACAGACATAGTAGTTATCTTCTGCAATAGAAAAACTTTCTGACTGCATTATGTTTCTAAGGCAATGGGTTGGAGGTCCAGAGTTGTCCACCCCAGTTCTGAGGCAAGGTTCCATTTTCATAGTATTGAAAATTAATGTATGTTTGCAATACTTTGACAGTTGTTGGCTGTTATACTGACAATAATTAACAGCTGCTATGATGTATTGGAAGAAAAAGCTGAATTTTGCCAAAATTGCTGTTGAATATAATACACCCGACATCTGCATTCAGCACAGCTGTTTTCCATTGACCTCCACATTAAGCTGGAGAAGCAATTTCAGGCTCATTCTGATCATTACATGCATTCTTTAATAAAGAGAACAGTGGCACAAAGAAGCACATATATGACATCACCCTTTGTAAAGATATGAAATGATTCACTTGACAGCCAACCATAAAAAAAACTCACTTAATGGCCAAGTCTACTTTACTGCTGCCCTAAATGAAAGATTTGTTACATTAATGATTAGTTTTTTGTTGTTAAACCAACACTTCATTAAAAGGTTTATGGGATAAATGCATTTTATTGTACTTATCCTTCTTTACCCTCATCCCCTCTGTGGCATGCACCAGTATAGGCAGTGTGGGCTACAGAGTGAAACTTGAAGAGCAGTGGTGTTGTAGGTTAGTATATGATATTGTCAGAGTGCTAGAATGGAGCATTAGAAAAGGAACACTTGTTACTGCAGATCAGGTATATGCACTGCGAGTATATTAAAAAAAGCTCATGGCAGGTCCTTTCTTGCTTAAGCTCTGTAGATAATGATATAGGACAATGCCACTGCATATGCGGAAATGAGTGATAAGCAGGAGGGCCTTGCATTACTGTAATCACACTAACAGCGCTAGTGTTGTAATAAAAACCCCATGGCATTTATTTAGGCACTCAGCACTTGGTCTCTAACCAAATATGCATGTTTAGGACCCAACTGGCTCATACAAATGCTTCCTTGCAATCATTTTGTATTGGCATGACAGACTGCCTTTGTGTGGCTTAAGGCTACATTTAAGCAAACACTGTCAGAAGAAAATCCTATAATTAAATATCTTCCGCCCCCCACTCCCACGGATACTCACTGCAATAACGCCGGAGTGTACAAATTAAGATGGAAGCTTCATCGGAAAAAAAAATAGAGAAAAGTTGGGCACCAGCTGCAATTTTAAGAACCATTGGCTACCTGGCCCCCTCGACTTGTCCAGTCCTGCTGTAATGCATACAGAGCTTTACTGTGGTATACTGCAACATGTTGTGTATGTGCAATGGCATTCATTCATAGAACATTCCTGCGCCACAGTGAACCACAATATTTGTTGCAGTGCCCTAAAAATAATAATAATAATAATACAAGAACAAAGAGTGATTTATCTTGCATTGGGGTCCATAGAAAATGAACAGCTTGCAATAATGAAGTGCATTGCAACACACCATAAGCATTTTACAGCACATGTTTTACTGCACCGCAATGTACAGTGGATGGACCCTTAAAAGGCTGAAAGGTTTGCTTTGACAGAAAATTGCCATGGATCCTAAATTTAAGCATATAATGAAAATGTAGCATTATGTCCAATGCAGATAACTGGCAATAGGAAAAAAGACTGTAAAGTCAACACATGAGGTTAAAGTGTCTTTAAGCCACATGTTAAAGTGATTTGTGAACTGGCTACAAAAATGTCTTGGGTAAAAGTCAAAGGCCCCCTAATCCTCTGATGAGATAAAAATCATTAGCAGGGCTGTAAGGTCTGATGACATGGAAATCTTTTGAAGTATGAGTACTTCCACCGGGGAATGAATACCACAAGCCGTATTACATCACTTTTTATTAAACACTAACCTCTTCCCGATCGTCCTCGTCTCCAGTAGTCAAGTCTAAGAGGTCAATGGCAATATTCTCTTCTTCTTCACTGCTCTTCTCTGTGGGTTTGGTGTTATCCCAAACATAGCTGCCTGAGATGGAATTAATTTCTGGTAACGACTTGGTGCTCTTGGCGATTGGAGGGACCAGCTTGGACTTGTTAAGGTCTTTCTGTCCTGAAGGAAGTCTCACAAGTGAAGCTTTAAGCTGAACTGGAGCATCATCTTTACCTGAGGATTTTAAACCACCAGACAACTGTTAATTAACATTCCCAATTAAAAGAAAAAAAACCCAGCTTACTTTTAGTGAGAGCACAGTTAAGCTGGTATTGTAATTTTTACATTTAAGTACCTTCTGAAATGACTCAAAATTTGATATGCTTGGCCATTCAAGTTTTGGTTACGGTATTAAATACTTTGATTTCTGAATTGGCCACCAGGGTGGGCTCTCAGTGGTTCACAGCAATTACTCGGCCTCTTAACTTCAGTTGCAACCATCAACTAGCCACAAGAGAAGGCAATTTAGTTGGGCTGGCCAACTAGAAATCCTGAAAGATCATTGTGCAGGCATGGCTAGTACTGAAGATGAGGACTTGGGGTTGTAGAATGAAAACAAAGTGGCTGCTCAGGGCAGGGTGCAGCTGTCTCCCTGAGGAACGTAAGAAGCTGGGGTGGGATTTTTTTTTTTCATTTTTAAGGATAGTATAGGTTAGAAGGTCACTTAGTGAACTATATTTAAATGAACCCTTGGCCTTTCAGTGTTTAGACTTAGCCTCCTTCTCCCAAAATTAACCTAAGAGTTAAAGGCTCACATTAGGGGTTAAGGGTTGGCAGGTCAAAGCAAAAGGTTCAATTTAGTGCTTTTCTTCCGAGCAGCATATACTTACCTTGCTTCCATCAGTCGAAATCCCGCAAGAAAATGCTCTTGCAATGGACTGGAGACCTGGCCTGCTATGCATTCCCCAGGAACAGTGAGGCCACATCCAGCAATGCGGCAGATGGGGGTAAGGCAAGTATGAATCTAACTTTTTTTTTAACAGGTACATTTTATACATACTAACAGTAAGTGATTTGTAAAAGTAGAGGGGGCCCCGGCAATTAGAGCAGAGCTTTAGAGGAGAGGGGTAGGTATATGTAGTCCTGCTCAGTTTCTGTTGCCCTGATCCAGTAGGGTGAGTGAGCATCGTCACCCTAGCACAGGAATTGTGTTACTGGCAAAACCACCAGGAAACACTAAAGGGGAAAAGCCTGAAAAAAAGAAAACTAATGCATCCACTGAATTTAAGCACTGGTGATCTGCAATATAATAAAATATTTAAACTGATAGGCTTTAAGAGTTCAGGGGTATCTGAGTATTAGGGACACTTTATTGGTTAAAGCTCATCTCTGGGGGGAAAGAATTAAAAATACTACACTTCAGCGGGGTTGCACCCCACACTGCAAAGGGCAACTAATCATTGAAGTCTAGGGTACCTGGTAAAGGACTTACGTGTAGGGTACCAAGGTAAAGGACTTTTACTTACATGATCTCTGCTCCCCCAGCAGTCAACAGTCACCTTGTCTGCCCTACTTTCTGGCTTGTGGACTGTCCCTCGGTGTCTGCATGTATAATGCAGGGCTATGGGCCCTGTACTGTACTTGATGACATCAGCAGGCCTCCAATCGCTGGACTGTAGAGGGGGAAGAGGCTGCAGGTGACAGTCTTGCAGCCTGAATGGAACCTGCGGGAGCGGGGATCAGGCAAGTAAAAATACTTTACACAGGTAGCCCAGACTAAACTTTTTCCCCCAGAGATAGTCTTTAACGATATGTAGCAGAACAATGCAAGTTTAATTTGCTTTTAGTGCCAACAGCGCAGCACCAAAAACTAACATCACCGTGGTACAGGTTTCAAAATGAAATCAGGACTGTTAAATGTAGACATAGAGCTACACACCGAATTGCATTAACACACTGCTTTTAAGATGCATTTAAAATATTACTTGTTAATACCAAAAGGTCAAGTGATAGGCCTTGAGCCTTCAGGAATGCTACAATGACCACTGATCCACCGTGATCTATAATTTGTATGTCACAACTCTTAGCTGAATGGCTACCATTGCAGATGTGCCAGAGGTCCACACTCCCTCCCTTTGATCACCGACTTTATAATTAGTACATGAAAACATCAATGTGTTCCGGAAACACATAGCACCTCGCTGACAAATGCATAAGGCTTTCAGTCGTGCTTCTATGACAATAAACAAATACTACAGTGGAAACCCCCAGGCACACTGTACGGTTCTTTGTAAGTCAAGAGGAGCTTTTGTCTGCAAAATACAAAGTAGTCGAATCCCCCGGTGTGAAGGCATTAGTTATAAAGCTGGGCAGTTCAAGTTGGGCACCCAATGAAAAAAAACATAGGTGGAGGTCACCATTAGTGAAAACCCTATGTAAAAAAGAATGTATCAATGTGATCAGTTGTGTAAGCGGATCAGACTCTGTATCTTACAGTAGAGCTGTAGAGAAGTAAAAAAGTGAAGATTTGGTATCTCACATGAAACATGTAGAAATGTTAATTGTGTCTAATATGTACCCTCATAATTAGGGATGCACCGATACCAATGCTAGTATTGGTGCCGTTTATTTGGGCAAGTACTGGTACCCCCCAAATGCTCCGATGCCTAGCCATATACTTGAGCTTTCTGTATCAAGAAGCCGGGCAGCAAGTCATTACACACTGCCCGGTTTGCTGCCTCTTAACTTCACTTAGCAATTGCCAAGTACAGTACAGTGTACGCTGGGGAATAGCAGATAACAACAGTATACAATCGTTCCACAAAAGGTACTTTATCAACATATAATGCTGTCATTTATAGACATGGGGTAGGAAGCCTCAGCACTACAAATCCCGTCATGCCTGTGCAAGTCATGCATGCGTCATGCCTGTGTTTACATACAATTTAAATAACTATAATGTATAAGATTTTATAAATATATAATATGCATATTAAAAAAAAAAAACAGTTTATAATTTTGTAAAATTCCAAAATACAATAGAACAAAAAAAAATATTTTAGGTTCCCTTGAAATGGGTACAATATAAAGATGGCAGTTACCAAAGAACGTAGGCAGGGGCTCCTTTGGTATACTGAATGTGGCAGGCGCCTGCTTGGCAGAAGAATTTCTGACCTTTGCTGTCGGCGTTTTTACAATCGGCGTATGGTGCACATCGAATGTGGAGGACAGCTAGAAGATAGATAAAACATATTGTTGGTGAGTTTAGAGAACACAACATCTGAGTGGCATGTAAACATGTCATGTGGGCAATATCCACCGCTCCAAGCTCACTCCCGTGATGGACTACAATC